TCATTGTCAAGTATGCACAGCTCTATAAATATAATCCTATAGTCCTCACTCAAGATAAACTCTCATTGAAGTTAACAGAAGTTAAAAATTTGACACTATAGATGTCCCTTCAGAAAACAGATGGATAAAAATTTGATCTTCTTTAAATCTACTGTTAGTAGGATTATGCAATATTTTTCATGGAACAATAATTGAAGAATAGATTTCACCATTTCTGTTACAAGCCAAAATATTTAAATTGTGTCCACTGTATTCAGACATGAAGTGTAACATTCACTTATACATCCAGTTATTATTTGCTACTTATATGGCTATTTATGTTGCTTTTGTTTGTTTTTTACGGAAAGGTGAATAAAAAGTTTTAAGTAGGTTGTCTCTAAATAAGGAGGAGATTTAATGTTGTCAGCTTAAAAGTGGTATAGTGCCCTTTCCCATGTTGATCTCCTTCTTCGTTATCCAGGTAAATAAACTGAGCCCTGAAGATCTGCAGTTTATCCAGAACCCTACAATGTCTATTGGCAGCCTATAGTACCTTCCTGATGAAAAGAAACTGTATCACTATTTTGCAACTAAGTATGTTTTTAGTTTTAATGCTGTCAGGCAGTGTTAAACTATATTAACTTTGATTAAGCTAGTAGATGGTGTTACTCATTCTATATCATGTCATTTACTGGGAAGCTTTCTAAGAGGGTCACTAAATCCAGAAGAACTCACAGAAATGCAACCAAAGTTGCATTTTTGTTTATTACCAACCAGAAAAACAAATGAGGCACTGTAAGGTAGGGTTGCCAACATTGTATTTCAAAAATAAGGGACTGTTTTCTTAGCACCTTCCCCTCCCCGATATTATTTATTAATAATAATAAGCAGCAGTACTCACCTACATTCACCAGAGGTATTTCTTGCTGTACAGAGATAAAAAAAAATAAGGGACATCCCTTGTAATAAGGGGCTGTTGGCAACCTTACTGTAAGGTCTTTGATTTTATATATATATATATATATATATATATATATATATATATATAAGCCGAAGAACAGAAGTCCTGGATTTTGTTAACAACTGGAGAAGACACATACAGAAAGACGCACAAGCTCCAGCTTTATTACCAGCTGTAGCAATTATTATTTGCAAAAATTTAGCGGACAAATGTAAATCTACAGTCTTTCTAAACAATCAGTACTAATCAAAATCCTAGGACAAAATCAGTGGTATATTTTTTAGATTTGTTGTAGATTAGAGTTCCCTTATCAATTCAATTGTAGGCACATTTCCTCTACAAAACATTGACTTCTCCAAACTTCAGAAATGTTAGGGCTTTTTTATTATTATTATTTATTTTGGTTAGGGTTGTGAGTTGTTTTTTTGGGGGAGGGCAATAATCTAAATCTAAATAATCTAGTTATGGCGATTATTTAATGAACAAATGTTTGAGTACTTTTAAAATTTTTATTTTACTGTAGTTTGGAAAATTAACTCAAATTTTTTCAAACTGATTTTATCTTAAAATTTCTTTATATTTTCTATTTAAAGTTTCTTAACAGAATTGCATACAGAAACTGAAATATCTAGGAAGGTCGTTTTTAAGTACATTTTTACATAACATACTTCTACAGTTTTCATTATGAGAAACACTGGGGTGGAGGGGAAAGAACTCTGCATTACAGAAATATCAACTTATTTTTTTCTATTTTTCTTAAGTCCTCCAGTAGTTTATATTAACACTTCCACAGCAACTACTCAAGAAGAATTAAATTAACAGGCTTCTCAGCTCTATGATCTTAGTGCAAAGAAACTAGAGCCCGATTCAGAAATGGGAGTTTTGCATGTATAAGGACTGCAGGATCAGGGTCCTATTTTGCAAATGGTCTCAGATAAAACAGTATTCTTTTACTCTAACATTAGCAGGTAGAAGCCTGTACTTACGCTTATATAACAACTATATTCTAGATCGACACAGTGGATGAGGTAATATCGTTTATTGGACCAACTTTGTTGTAGCTCAAAAGCTTTTCTTGCAGCAACAGAAGTTGATCCATTGACCTTGTCTCTCTAATATCTGGGACCAACAAGCTGCAACCACAATTATATTATAGTTCCTTTATAAGTGTTCCATTTTTCTTTCTGTTAATTGATACAACACAAACAAGTTTCTTTGTCCTTGAAAATATTCGCTGCTGCCTTAAGCCACAAGTTCTCTATAGTCAGAAATAACAATAGGATTATATACATCTAGGAATAAAACACCAAAGAAAAATTAATGTGGAGATTATCCTTATTTGATTATAAATACAATACTTCACTCCTTAGCTGAGCAAAATCCCATTTGAAAATTTGGTTTATTTATGGAAGGAAGTCTACAAGTCCTGAAAAGGTACATTTTAAAATACTAATGAAGACAACACTTAGTTGATCATTACACTTTTTTTCTCACATTTCTTTACTAACTGCCTGTAATTTCTGTGGCATTAAAAAAATCTGTTCACAGTTTAAACATTCTATGGCTTGTTTTATTTATCTTTTTTCTTTCCAACTATTGTCTTATCTTCAGTGTTTAGGGCAGTATGGTGAAGACTTCATATCTAGAGGTGACTGAAGTCTCTCTACAATTAATCATGTGATCTAATGAGGATGTATGGATCAGCATAATATAGCTCTAAATTCTGGGCTAAAAAGTTCCCCTTATAGCATAAAACAACAAGTGTGCACAGAATACTCTATGCAGTCATTCAGAATAAATGATTATGCAGCATGTTACAGACATTTTTATAACTTCTAATAAGAATATCAATGTATTATATTTAATCTCTTTAAGATCCCTTTGAAATAGATTCAGTAAACTTCAGTAGAAACAAAGTGAACTTTTTCTGACATACTGGAAAAAAGTAATTACTCACCGAAGAATGCCTTTTGAAAACTGAGTCTTTTCATTACCGACAGTTTCAATGTTTGGTAGTTTATAAAGTGAAACATTACCTGAATTTCCCTTGCGTGGTATACAATAATAAGACCAAGCAGAATAATCGTGGAGAGGCTAATAAGGCATTTTAGAGCTAATGAATACAGCGACTCCTGCAACAGAAAAACATTTGAGTGTCCATGAAAAGACATACACCTTTATAAAAAGACTTTTTGTCCTTCATCCTTCTGAACTGTGATGGGGGAAAATCTATCTTGCATAACAGAGACCAGGATTACTGACTTGATTTCTCTCTTTTAAGGATGAAGAATAGCTGCCCTAAATCAAAAGGGCTACTTGTCATTGCTTCAGCAGCAGGTCCAGTACAGGTGGGACAGCCAACACTGGGAAACCAATTTACTCTAGGAACTGCCAATGGGATGGAGCGCTCTAGCCCGAGAGGAAAAAAAAGTTTCTCTCAAGTCTACAGCATTATGCAAATCCAAAGAAATTGACCCTGGCTGGCAGAATGAAAAATTGAGGGTGGCGATTTAAACGGCTGATTTAGAAAATACACTTTTCTTTTCAAATTGTTCTTAAATCCCTTCTCTCCCTCCTCCTCTGTCCTTCTCATCCTTTCCCTCCCAGGTTCGTAGGGCAGGAGCAGCGCCTAACGGACACTGGTGACACTGGCAGGCGTGTCTGCCCGCCTAGTGGAAGTGAATGCGGAGCGTGTCTGCAGGGCATGCACTGGGTGGGAGTCGCTCCCCGCAGGGGACAGATCAAACTGCGGCTGGGACCTTGGAGAGAGCGCGGAAGGCAGAAGGAGAGGGCAGGAAGCTGGGGCCCGGGAGAGAGCAAGCCCAGCAGCAGGAGGAGTGAGAGAGTGGCCGGCAGCTATAGCGCGCTGGAAGGGAGGCGAGCGGGGAGGGGCAGGTACCTTGGTGTAGGCGCCCCAGGACAGCTCGGTCTCGATGACCATCACCACGATGCCGAACATGCCGAAGATGAGCGCGTAGTCGCTGAGCCGCTTGCGCTTCTCGAAGAGCGCTCGGCGGTGCCCCAGCTTGTAGCCGATGTTCTGGTTCTTCTTCTTGCTGGACTTGCTGCCGCTGTTGTTCTGGCTGCTGCCCCCCACGCTGCCCCCGGGGCCGGGGCCGTGCAGCGCCAGGTTGTTGGAGTTGTTGTGCTCCGGCTTGGACACCACGATCTCCGGGGCTGAGGCGGCGGCGGCGGGGCTGGAGAGCGGCGGCTGCAGCGGCTGGGACTCGGAGTCCAGCTCCTGCAGGTTCCTGCGGGACGAGCTCAGGTGGCTGAGCGGCCGCATGACGCCGCCGTTGTACCTGCAGCTGCTCATGGCTATTTCGGTGAAGGGGTTGCTCTCCCGGCGCTGGTGGGGCGGCTGCTGGTGGTGGTGGTGGTGGTGGTGGGTGCTGCCGCTGCTGACGCTGCTGCTGGGGCTGGCTGCCTGCTGCTGCAGGCTCTGGCACTGGTGGTACTGGGGCTGGGGGTGGTGGCACTGGTGGTACTGGTGGGGGTGGGGCTGCCTGGACGAACCGGCATGGCTGGAGGGGGTGAGCTCGCTCACGTTCAGCTGGCTGCCCTGCCTGGAGGAGGCGGCGGAGGAGGAGAGCGGCGAGGAGTGGGTCCTGAAAGCGCCCGACAGGGGCGAGGAAGTGCGGAGCAGCAGGGGCAGGCTGTCCCCCGCCGCAGCCCCGGAGTAGGTGCAGTTGTTGCACTGGCGGCAGGGGCTGTGCTGCTGGAGCAGGCTCTGCTTGCCCTGGCCCGGCGGCGGCGGCTGGCAATGCGGGCGCGGGCGCTGCTGCTCCTGCTCTGAGCAGAAGCCCGGCGGGAACTGCAGCGACGTTTCCATGTCAGAGCTGTTAAAGCTGCAGGAGGACCAGGCGGTGGTGCACCCTGCGCAATGCGTTACGGTCGGCAGTGGCGAGTCCTGCCGCCGCCGCGAAGGGCCCATCCCGGCGCCCGTAGAATCCAGCCGGCGAGTCCGATTGGTCGGGCGAACCAAAACAATGGGCATGACGTCACCTGGAGGACGGGAAAGCTGCGGCGTGAGGCGAGGAGCGAGGGACGGGAGGGGGCGCGGGGAGAATCCCGGGAGCAGCTGTCGCTGCCAGCCAGCGCGAGCGCTGCTCCGCCCCTGCCCGGGGAATTCCACCTTCCCTGCAGTGCAACGCAGCCCGGGCGGGGCGCGGCCAGCCGTGCTGCAAGAGCTGCTCAGGCAGGTAAGGGTCCCTCCGTCTTCTCCCTCGGGGCACTTACACCAGGGATCGTCCCGCCGGAGCAACAACAAGGCACAATTAATAACCACAATCACCGTTCGCAGCAATATTCCACCCTCCTAGACCCTGCCCCGGTGGGTGCTTCAAACCCTTTGCAAGTACTGACCACCTGCTGTCAACGCGCAGCGCAGCCAGCAACCCTGACGAGCACAGCACTTGCCTGTTAGGGTCAGAAATCTCTGCAGTTAAGATTTGCTGGTGCCTGTTTACATTAATCTGCAAATTATTTCTCATTCCACCCAATTTGTATCCAAAACTGGGGGAAATGTGGCCTCTAATTACTTGTTAGCAAAAGGTGCAGCTATGATACTAAAAGTTTGACAGTAACAGTATCGGTTTCAATAGGATACGAATGCGGTACCGGCTGTATTTCATTTAACCTCATGGGGAAAGGGCTGCATGCAGGAATTTTCCCCTGCCCGGGTTATTATTTTGGGAGTAGCTTGAAACAGATTGCTCGATTTGATTCAGAATAACAGGAAATCCCAGAATTACAGTGACAGAGGCAGCGATCATGCCCCTGCCTGTGTATGGTGGTTCTGATCTGGCCGCAGCCATAAAAACCTTTGCACTGAAGTGCTGGAGGAGTGAATTGTTGAGCCAGGACGTGTGGCTGTTTCTAACGGGGAACTAGGACTGCACCTGTTCACAAACAGTTAGTTATAGGGAGAGAAATAACCCCCCAACTCCAGACCCTTCTTCCTGAGATGCTTAAATGATTTGTTTCAGAGTCGCAGCCCTGTTAGTCTGTATCCGCAAACAGAAAAGGAGTACTTGTGGCACCTTAGAGACTAACATGCGTCCGATGAAGTGAGCTCTAGCTCACGAAAGCTTATGCTCAAATAAATTTGTTAGTCTCTAAGGTGCCACAAGTCCTCCTTTTCTTTTTAAATGATTTGCAGTCCCGATGTGGACTGGAAGCATTGGCATGCACGTCCCAAAGCTCTGAACTAGGGAGAAATGGGGAAGCCTGACTGGAGGCGGGGATTTTCCCGGACCTAGCAATGCCCGCCTCAGCGTAGACCGTTGGATTCGCTCACATTTACGCTTTTTCCGAAACATCGGGCTTTGCGCCCCGCTTCTTCCTGTCCCCGTCTTCGGCTGCACGGGAAAGGTGGCAGTAGGTGGGGCCTGGCCCCGGGGCGGTAAGAGCACAAAGGAGGCCCTGCCAGTGGCCCGTGGGGAGCTGTCCAGCGATCCCCAGCAGCAGAGCCTGGAGGGAAGGCGCGGCGGAGTCCTTCTGCCCCTCTTCCTCTTTCTTCCTGCTGGCCACCTGCAGCAGGTTCCCTGGAGACCTGAAAGACAGACATGTAGCATGACTTCATGCCTCCAGGCATCCTCTCTCTCTGTCTGCCTACCTATGAACTGAGAGCAAGCATAAATATGAGAGAATAGAGAGAAGACCCAAGCTATTTCAAGAAAGATGATGTCATATGTATGTGTGTGTTAATGTACATGCAGAGACACTAAACTCTAAGGGTGAAATCTAGACCCCATTGAAATCCATGGAAAAATTCCCTCTGATTTCCATGGGACCAGGATTTTGCCCTATTGTTCAGGCAACTAAATGCATGAGCAGTCCCATGTGCATGCATAAGTATTTGCGGGCTTGGGACCTAAAACTGCACTCATTGAATAAGTTTATCTTATCCATGTGAAGTCAATGGACTATTAACAAAAAGATTACTTCTGAGTACAGGTTTGAATGATTGGGTCCAGAGGCTTAGATATAATCCTTTCAAAGTGAAGGGGTAGGGGGAAAGGGAGAGAAAAGACACAGCAATTGGCAAATCTGTAACTGGATTTTCCCACTAAAATAAAGGAATACTCAAAAATAAATAGTAAACAAAATTCCAAACATTTTTCAAATCCTACAATTAAAAAATTTGAGGGATTTTGCAATATGATTTTTTTTAAAAAAAATGTTCATTGGAAACTTGAGAGAAGTCAGGCAGTAGTAGAAGATTCACGGTGTTTTAAAAAAATCTGCCAACAGTAGTCCACAAAAAGATTTACATGATAGAGACCTGTTCTAATAGGTCTAAGACTTACTGTGAAACAGGATCACTTTCATTAAGTAATTGAATTTCTGACTTGGATCCAATTTCCTGAAATTCTATTCTGCAACAACTGTAATGTTGGCCATCCACTACCATTTTGCCTTCTTTTCCCCAGTGACTTCAAGTGAATAATTCATTTTAGCAGTTCCCTTCTTAGACAGTTTAATGCCTGAGCCAGATAAAGTCTCTATTTTGCATTTACTTAGAGAGAGGAAAGAATCATGAAAATGGTAAGTGATTCATTTATTATAGCCATGCTGCTCCCACTGCTAGAGTTAAGGCTGTGTCAGTATTTCCATTACGCAGCTGGCTTCCAAGAATCAGAAATTCAACTGTTAAATTTCATTTGAATGGCCTGACTTTAAGGGGTCAAAGTCTCTAGAAATCTTTATTTTTCCCCTAATAGTTAGGGGAAATGTTTGTTCAAGCATTTGTAAATTATAGAAATGCAGAAAAAATAATTGTTGATAGTGATAGGTGTGTTTGTTTGTGTTTTTCAGAAGGTGTTTCCATCTCACAAAATAATTAGATTCCCAATGACATTTTGTATGCTTTAATCAGTTCTGTCTTGGGTAATTTTATTGGGGGTGAGTTTGGCAGGGAGGAGTGAGTGAAGTGTTTGAACAACTAAGCTATTTAATTTAGGAAAGGTAAATTTACAGCAGATGAATAACTTTGTTCTCAGCCAGAATGTGGTATATTGCTTTTAGGACACAGATCTTGCAAATTCATAGCAGTTTCACTGAGGTAATAAAACATTATGGTTCTAAAAACCAGTCACAGGATTATTGCAGTGACACACAAATTGGGGTGTTTAAGTATGCTTAGACATGATTATAAAATAAGTGCCTGTAAATATGGATTTGTATGATATACAGTATCATAGTCACTCATAAAATATGTCAATCTGTTGGGTTAATAATCGGGATTTGAAGTCCCTTAATACATATTTGTATGACAGATTAAGTTATAATATTCTGTTAAATCAATCTGCACCTTCAAACTATATTAATGTGTACCTCAACTGTATAAATCCATTGGGTCACTTCTCATGTATTTGAGTAAAAAGGAAATTGTTTTACTCTTAAGAAGAAAAAATATTGTAAGTAAATTTAACAGTATTATAAACAGACAAAACAAAATCCAGAGTTATGCCATGCATTCTACCTCAAGTCATTCTGTTTTGTCTAAACCTTGAAGGGGCTCCTATGGTAATATTTGGGTCTCAGATTAGTACACAGTGGCACATCTCAGGGACTATATTTGTAAATCTATCTACGCATGGAAATTCTATATAAAATTGGGTACCAAGAGATTTGATTCATGATAGACTGAATTAAAGAATGCAGACAGTTTTAACTTCCAACTTCCTTACTTTTGTCTGTTCATTTCATGATCTTAATGTTAGTTTAATATACTTTCTTTCCCCTTTAACCTTCCTGGCCACATTTGTTCTTTATCCTGAAGATTTCATATCATGTCAGTTTATCTTCACATTTTCTGTGTTTTCATCTAATCTGATAATTTAGTTTTAATTAATTGTGAATAAAGTTATAAAATCAGAAAAAATAAGATGAATTTTTAATAGTAGAACACGTATATGTAAAAGCTTGCTGTGTTCTGTAAGGGAAAATTTATTTTTATTCTATTTTTTAATATATGAACAGCTGCAAATCCCATTTTTAGTGTATTTATCATTGACAGATTGTGTCTGTCCTTAAAATTAGGTCAAGCACTCGGCTGCTACTAGCTTTTGGAATATTTTATGTGCTTGCTTGATCTTTCTTTAAGACAATAAACAACTGAATATTCCCTTGTTTAACACAAGAGGGCATACTAATACACTCAACATATTGTAAAACTAATCAACTGCAAGTTTTCATTTGTTTCAGTTATATAGGCATTATTTTTACTACCCAAATTTTAAAGGTCTAAAATAAAAAATTAGTGAGAGCTTACTTTTTTAAACACTAGAAGAATAGACCCTCCCCCTCTCAATTTGTCAAAGATGCAAAAGAGCAGGAATAGAAAGGCACACTATTTAAATCAATCCTGCTTCTTATAATAAGCATTTTTGAAACTTTATGTAAGAATGGGTGAGTGTAATAGCATTTTAATAGTACAGACAAAATATGCTAATTGAATTGCCTTTGTATGAAAGGGACACTAGCATGACATAATGCAAAACTGATAAAATGGTATGGTAAGGCATGTGCCAAGGTATAATGACAGACCTCCTACGGAACAATGATTAGAGATTTTCTTTGTTTCATCAAAACATTTTTTACTTCCCTATTAATCCTGCTCTTCAAACTGTTTTAGGTCACTATGCTGCTGTGCCAAAGATGCCATGTTATGGGGAGAGATTTATTTTAGATCTAGTTTGATAGTATGTTTAGAAAAAAGTCCTGTTTTCCAGCTGGCTACACTAACAGCCATTAATTGCTAGGACAAGATAGATACTGTAGAGCAAAGCTGTACCATTGATAATATGTGGAGCACAACAGATACAGAAAAAAATTATTACTAGGTTTCTTAGATCAGGAAAATGCCTGACCTGACAGCTAATGCCTAGCTAGCTTAAGTGGCTTAAATAAAAGCCCTCTACATTGTCATTATTGTTTTAGCCCATAAGTGTTTTAGGAGGCAAATAATGGCAGCTGCTGTATTAGAGCACATTAACTGAAGTTATAGATAGCTATTTTGGCCAAACTCCTGCAGTCCTTACTAAATCAAAACTCCTATTCAAGTCAATAAGAATTTTGCTTTTCTAAAGTTAAGGGTCCAAAGCTACCACATGATGCATGCTTCTGTTAGTTGGGGCAGGAAACAAAATAAGTTGAAAAGGCTAAGAAGTTGCACAGAGGCTGAAGATGGTAACAT